TTTCATAAAACATTTTGATAATTGATACTCGTAAATTAAAAAATCGGTTTTTAACAGCATTCAATCATAGTGATCAAAAGCTATAAAATCGAAGTAAATGTTTAGCAAAAATAAATGGTCATAATCAGAAGATAATCATTAAGCGTCGTACTTCGCTCGGTTTGGTTAGAATTTTGTAAGAAGTTTTAAGAAAGCAAGAAGTGTAAAATAAGTTTTTAAAAAATGCTATTTAAGCTAGAATTTTGGATTCATAAGGTATACACCAGTTATAATATATATAATAAAATATAAAGTCACTCGCCCAGTGATTGAAAGGTTTAGAAAAATTCTGCTTTCAAGCAGCTCGGATGCATGTTTTTAGTCAATTTCAGGTAATCGAACCAATAGTTTGTCAAAGTTCATACCTTCTGATTGAAGGTATCATCTGAAAAATAATGTAACTATGATGAATGTCTTCAGAATTTCGCATTAATCTTTGTGATGTTCTAGATTGAACTAGGAAGCTCCGATCGAAAACTTGAAATGGTCAAAATTTGTTAAAATTTGGCAAGGAATTCAAAAAAAATATTTATGCAATAGTATGACGAAAAATGTCTTTTTTCGCACATTTTTTGGTGCGCAAAAAGCGTTTTTGGACACTTGTATGCGGTAAAATGCCTCATTTTGGACACGGCTTGCGGTAAAACGCCTCATTTAAATGAACGTATTTTTCGCCTACTAGTGCATAAAATCAAAAAATAACTATTTCAAATTTTTTACCGGAACCTCTGGGCTCCAGGAACCTTTTTTCTTAAAAAAAGCGTTTTTCAGCCATAGATGCTATCGCCTTCAATTAAAAAATTTGAAAAAATTCAAGGTAATGTATTTCGATGAAAAAAAAACGAGAAAAAAATTTTTCCAGATTTTTCAAGGCTTTGTATCGCCCTAAAAAAATTAGTTTCGTTAAAAAAGGGCGGTTTTCGACTCCAGACGTCAGAGTCCTCTCTGAAAAAATCTGAAAAAATTTTAGGTTATGTATTTTGATGCTAAAAACAAGTGGAAAAAGATCGGGCTTTGTATTGCATCATAGCGCCGTATATGAATTTTCAAAATTTTCAATGATTTTTTCTGAAAGCCTGAAGCACTCAAAAAATCTGAAAAGCACTTGAAAAGTATTTTTATGAATTTTTTCAGATTTTTAAATTACTTCAGGTCTTCAAAATAAATATAAATAGAAAATAGATGTTTATACCGGAAGTGGGGGGTAGGAAGCGGGAGGGGGTCCAAAATTTTGGTTTTGGCACTTTTTTATCATGTACTATAAGATACCAAAACCGCGTCAAGATCGGTGACAAGCGAGTGCAGGTTTATTTAAAAAATTCTGAGTCTTACCAATATATGTATGGGCTATATCACGTCAACCGCGATAGTCAAAAAATTACATTGAAACAAAGTATGTAATCTTTAAAAAACTACATTATAAAATAAATATCCTGATATTTCAGACCTGTAGGTCCATCGCTCATGAATCTACAAGGTTTCAAAAAATTGGAATTTTATTTTTCCAATTTTATTCTGATTCCCTAGGGTGAATATGAAAAAATGGTTAAAACACGATTTTTTATGCAAAATTTCATGAGGAAGTCAAACTTGTTGTCGAAAATCATATTCACAAGCTTTTGCCCCATTAAAAAGTGAAAATAGCAAGAAAGTGAAAAAATAAATGTGTTCTTCTCTATCGATTAGGCCAATATCGTAATATGTTCATCGGTACATTAAAATACAACTTTTGATAAAATTTGGTGATGGTTGAAACAATAGAAATCATTTGAGAGCATATTAAAGGTCAAAAACAAGAAAAGTGAGAGAAAACCCTTGTTCTTGACCCTTATGAAAGAGAGAGAAAGAGAGAAAGAGAGAGAGAGAGAGAGAGAGAGAGAGAGAGAACGTGGGAAGAAGTTCGAACGATTTTTTTCGGCAAGCGATACTCAATACTATTTATTCTTGTCGATGGATCGAGTATTTATGCAACATACCTCATATTTTATACATCTGCTAGTGTGCCAAGACTATTGCAACGGTGAAGGCTTTACTAAAAATTCTCTATAAAGTCGTCGAGAAAAAGCTTGTAGGATTTAGCCATTCGAAAACAAAGTTCGATCCCAAGATGAAACGGAATTACCTACTGAAGCATTTTAAAAATTAAGGAGAAGAAAATATGGTCATGATTGTTCAATATAGCAAAAAAAAGTCTGCCACGTGCATTACCACCTTTTCCAGACCATGCCACGCGAACGTAATGCGTGGAGGCTCGACAACAGATTTTCTTTAAGGTTCTATGGATGAAAATTGTCGATGGCTGTTCCAGCGAAATCCTTTTATGATACGATTAGTTGACTGCTATACAGCATTTTATCGAAAAGTCAAGAGAGAGCAGAGTATACAAGCGCGTCTCGCCTACGTATGGAAACAGGCATCATCGTCGGGACGGGATTTGCGAATCGTTGAATAGCTAATGAGCCGGCTTTAATCCATGCACTAGCTAGAAAAGCTTTTTTTCTTTCCTTTTTTTACCGCACCGCCATCACGACAACTTTAAAAATGGGCGCTAGCATATATACACAAATGTCTACGGCGAAGCTTTGCACCAGTCTTTTTTCCGACTCTCCTTCAGCATCTAGTTTAACTTTAACCAAATAAAAAAAAAACATTAATCTCACTGTGTGCGTATATACAAGCAACGAGAGGTGAGAAGGCAAAACTCTCGATCAGTAAGAAAATTTATTCTCATTGAAAAGAAAGAAGGAGTGAAGGAAGAGGGGTTAAACTGATAAAGCTCACCCAGGCTCACACAAACGGAGCAAGTTTTTGAGTTTGCAGATCGTATGGATAATTCTCAATCTCTGAGTCTCGAAAACTTTTTCGAGTGTTGCATGAACATGATATTTTGACGGCAGATCGAATATTAATCGATGAATATGCAGCTTCGTCGCAGTTGGTCCGAATTTTGTCAATTTGATAAGCAAAACACCACTGTCTTTCTTGTAAGCTTGTTGCAATCGGTAATCTGCGCACATTGGAATTCTGCTACATGAATTTGTTGTACTACTTTGTTGTGATTGTATATAAGTGTTACAGTACGTCGGACGATTCGCTTAATATTTCTGCTTGATAAAAAGCCCGTTTTGAGTGGATGAGAGAGCAAAAAGTAGTATAAAGCATTTCTGGAACGAGAGGCGTTCGGTCGGAGTATTACGACGATAACTTACATCTAACGGCAGTGGCACAACGCAGGAAAAATTTCTTGCGACGTGACCCCCGCCTAGCTTACCCTCGGCTTCTTTATCTATTCTTTTTTTTGTTTAGAAAACACATATACGCGTTTGTATTACGAGCATCTTGACCAACGCTTCTCTTGATTTCCGCTTCCTGTGCCAGTCAGCTAAGTGAACGCAAGTAGGAGTCAGGTATTTTTTTTTTCTCGACAGTTATAAGAGTTATTTACTTCACCGTCAAGTTACTAGAAATAAGCGTTTAGATGTGTAGCTTACGCTCTATATCTTATATTTATTTATTTTTATAATATGAATTGGCAGTTTTTTAAATCTTTTATTTCTTTCACTATTACCAGGACTTCATCACGAATTATTCTTTTTTAGGTTTTATTTATCTACATGAAATAACGTTTAAGATGGTATGAGAGTCTCAGAGAGGTACACGGTGGGAATCAGGGGGCTCTCACACTCACCGTGTTAAATAACCAGAACTTCTTACTTCGAGATGAAACAATATATTACAGGTTTTTTTCATTTGTTGGCACAATTGCGACGTTTTTTTTCGTTAGCCTTAAAACAATATTCTATCTGTCATTAGGGTCGAATGAGCACATATTATTGTTGCTTTAGTCCACTTGATGCTTAGAGTACGCCACTAATGACTTACGAATTTTCACTCATAACAATTTATTACTGTGTTAAAACAAATTTTTTTCGAGATAACTATAACCGCCGATGATTTTTTTTCAGTCAAGTTTTTCATTATTTTTACAATGCGTATCTATTTTTTTTTCATTTTTATTTTTTTAAATTATGTTTATGCTTATTTAAGGTCGGAAATTCATGATTTCTCATGAAAAACCATGTTAAAAAAGCAACATTTTTTATGATACAAAGTTTCAAAATAAATAATTGTTCTTTTAATCAACTTAACTGCATTTTGAATGAGACTCGCGAACCTTCTTAAGGAGATATAGAATCCAGCCAAGAAATCAAAATTCCAATCTTGTTTTCTGAAATATGGGTCGAATCGCGATAGATGCCCCAGCGGTGTGAGCGAGTGTGCAAAACAATCAAATCACGCAGTTTTTGATTCGCTGTACGGACTTCATATGCTATCTAGAAAAAAACAGGGGTAGGTGATTTCGATGTGTTTTTCCTCAGCTTTCCAGTGGTAAGCTCAAAAATGCAAAAACCAGCCTCCATAACCTCAAAAAATTGTTTGGTGATGATTTTGATAAAAAAGCTCGATGGGCCATTCAGTTATCAAAATTTGAAAATTAAAAATATGATGAATTGAATTTCAAAACTCATAAAAAACGCCATAAATTGTATTTTTTTTATTAATTTGTATTCGTATGAAACTAGAAATTGTTTTCAAGACCAGAAAAAAATAAAATTTGAACATAAACATTGCCAGGAATGGTAATTTTTAAGTTTTCACACGAATATTGTAGAGTTAACACAAATATTAAAATCTCACGAGATGTACTAATATACGAGTAAAATTAGAAGTAAAATTATTTTAGGTATTATCTACAGTTAATAATAATGACTAGTTATTAATGGAAAATAAAAAATGAGATTTCATATAAATTAATCATCAGGTATATAATTGACATTTCTGACTAAGATGTAATAACATTTGATTAAATTTAGTACAGTGGCATATTAAAAACAAAAAAAATGAATTAATCTTTTTTAATAAAATTTATTGAAATATTAAAAACCTAAATGCTACTCGTATAAAAATGTTATAAACTCACATAAAAATCAAATGAAAATAAAAAATTAAATAACAACTCTCATATTCGAAGATTCAATATAAGCGAGCTTGTCAGGAATTTACTAAATTCGTTTTATAAAAAAGATTCAATGAACTTTTGGTAGAGCAACAATTTGAACAGCATAACTGATGCCAAATCCAAATAGATTTTTGAAATTTAATACGACATCGCTTCCCCCCAATCCACCAGATATAATAGAAACTACCACGTTACTGCTGTTTAAATTTTGATTAACAGCTTTAATGTAAGTAATCATATTAGTCGATCCTACCGCGTAAACTTGTTTTACTTCAGAAGTTGCATTGATAACTTTGACATCGTATACCATAAAATCACCTGTTTGCCTCGTGCCGATTTGAAATTCACGTGGTAGTGTGACAGGTAAAGGAGTGGTTGTAGGAGTGGGTCGGTGTTTCGCGTAAATTCTCACGGTAAAGTAGACGCCTTGACCGCGTTTGCTCTTGAACCTAAGTTCAACCGAGTTTTGTTTTAATCCACCCGACTGAACTCGAGCGTATGCTCCTGTGCCGTCAGTTTTTGAGTCCAAAGCCTCTATTTTCGTAATCATATATCCTTCTCCAACCTTGAATGGCCTTGAAAAATTTAAGGAACCTCCGACTATAGCTGGGTGATCAACATTTTCTGAAATAGCTAACACATCGCCTTCAGAGCGTTCACCAACAATCAAATTGTGCGAAATACTGGGTGGCTTTGGTAAGGCCTTGCCGTAAACTTCAATGTCGTAGTTGATACCTTTGCCAATAATACTTTCAAAATTCAATGTCGAATGATTGTATTTTACTCCACCAGATACAAGTCTGACTTGAGCATTTTTGCCAGTATTATACCTATCCATTACCTTAATTTGAGTGATTTCCATATTTGGTCCAATATTTATTTCTTCGCGATCGATTAAAACTGAATTAGCCACTGGTTTTTTGTAAAACACTTTTTTGACGATAAGATTATCTCCATTTTGTCTTTTTCCAAAAATGAAGTTTTGTTTAGGTCTTCCAAATATTGAAACGTCAAATTTGATTCCATGTCCTCTTTGGGCTTTGAATTTTAGCGTGACGAAATTTTTTCCTCCGCCACCCGATATTTTAGTAACATACGCACCTTTGCCATTGGTTTTTCTATCTTTTGCCAGTATCTGCGTAATCACGAAGCCAGGCTGTGTTAAAACAAATTTTTTTTCAAACGTTGGTGCTACAATATCAAAAGTTGATCCATGTTTATAAATGTATTCAGATTGTAGAAGTTTATCGCCTGGTAGTCTCTTGCCATCTTCAAAGTGGTGCGACTGCGAATTCACTGACACTATAATTGCAACTAGTAAAAACCACAAACTATTAACCATCATTTTGATCGTCGATTCTTGGACTCAATACTGGCGATTGCGATATGAACGTCCAATTGACTTCTCGGCCAACACGCAATTGATATTTATATTACTAGGCTTGTCATATATTTCTTATCACTGGCTCATACGTAGATGATTCATTTTTCACGTCAAGATAAAATAAGTTACCAGTGGGTTTTATTTTAGCAGAATTTTGAATGATACTCATAAAAAAATCTCGAAACGAGTAAAATCGAATGTTTCACATGAACATTACCACCATGCGTACCCACTTATGATGAACTGTGAATAATATCTTTGATGAGATAAAGTATACATTGACATTCTCTGTAATTGATAATAATTACGTAATATATATACGTGTGCAGTGCTCAAACTGATAAGTCAGCAAGCTATCTTACATGCTGTTTTGATACTGGTCTTGATTTTACAAAATACCTTAATATTTTTTGGAAATTTTCTTCAACTTTTTGATTTAATCTATAATTTTATTACAATTGATTTATGCAAAAAATTTCAATTCTCGAAGTATTTCGCGAAAGAAGTAAAATATGACAATTAGAAACTTAAATTGTAAGTATTACTATAACGCAATCCACTATTTCAAGTTTCAATTTGCTCTCAAAGCAGATAGCCTGTACTTAAAATGACAATGTTGGGCTTGTTTTATAAATATTATTTTCACAATATATACATAAAGTAATGTTTGATTCGTTTATCTTATCTATAGCATACTTAAATTTTTTATTTTTGTAATGTATTTGAAATAACTTTCTGTAATAACAACAATTCCCTTTACTCACACTTGTATATTGTCTTTTGGCTTGAAATGCGACTGTAATGCAATCAATTAAATAATCTTTACTTACAAAAGGTCGAATACCATCGGACGTTTTCTTCAAATACTGTAAATTTTATTATTCGTATGATATTCCACACTTAAAGAAATCCATTAACTCGTTAAAAAGATCTTTACATATCTTATTCGGAGATACTTCGAGAAGAAAAATCGTATGATTACAAATTATAATCAATCTAAAATACATCAATAAAACAATCTAAAATATCAACGCATGATATTTTAGAGCTTTCCATTTTTTTTCAGTTAAAATTTATATGTCTCTTTGTAAAGTTTTAGGCTAAGTAATTGAAGCGATAAAATGATAAACATTACTTCGCTAGGTCGAGTTAGACATAGCAACCCCTGCATCTTACGAAACTGCAGAGGTAGACAAAATTGTTTATTTTTCCAGACTACGCAAGTGGCGAATGAATAAACTTTTTTCGAAGGGATGGAAAAATACAGCTTACAATTGTAAGAAAATCGACTATTTCTTGATTTGAATTTTTAATATGTAAAATAGTCAAGTGTTGACTACTTCCTCATACAGATGGGTGTATTATCTACAGCACGCTTGGCATTGATAGCTAGCCCAGGCACGTACAGTTAGATGCCTTAAATGATTTTTGCGTTCTTGACTCTCCATATGCATGTTATATATATATAATACAGCTTGAGACACGCACCGGCTGGTATGCCGAACTATTCTCTTTTTCTCTCTATTTCTTTCATTTTTACGATCGACTTTTTATACCTCGAGGATAGACATGGGAGTAGCAGCAGCGCAGCAGCATCTGTGCCGAGCGTGCAGCGTGCGTACTTCACAAACTCGATAAGAGGACCATCGTGTGTGGCCGTGTGTTCATGTATGTGTCCGAGCGTCACTTAAAGCTTCTTTGGCTCGGGTCTCTCGTAAAACTCGCGCACGTCGGTGCCTTCGATGTCCAGCCAGCTCCCGTTCGATCCATACGTGCTGCTGCTGCTGTTGCCGCCACCGCTACTGCTTCTGGCTTCTTTTCTTTTACGTTTTATCTGATAAACTTATATATCTGTATAGTTACACGTAAAACGGACATCTTGCTCGTTGTCCTGCGATTTTTTTTACCTGATGAGTTCGCTTCTCTTCACCTGTGTTTCACGATGCAATCTCTATATCTCTTCATGAGACGACGTTGCTATCTACACTTACGCTCGGCGCCCATCGCATTGGCCCATATATAGACCTATACATTTCTCGACTCTGACGCTGGCAATAGCACTGCAAGTTTCCTTTTAATCAGTGATCCCCGCAGTCGATGGGAAATTAAGCTTTCTTGCTCGATCTATAACTCAACACTTAACAGTCTTTATAGATGATTAAAATTGTCCATTTACAATCACACTTTTAACGGCTATTAAATTTATATATTTTTTCTCTTTCAATTTTTCTTAAAAAAAAAAAAAAACAAAAAAAAATGAAAAATATTCTATCGACTAGCGGCTTTTATCGAAACTGTTGAGATAAATCGTTTTCTCTCACTTGAGGGTATTTGTATGCGTAATGACGTTTAATATGTGAGATGTGGACTTATATATATGGTTGATCCTCCCGATTCATCAATATTACATGTCCTAGTGACGCAGGGGCTCGGTGATGAATTAAAATGAAAATCTCGTGATACAGTTGCCTTTCAATAAGTGCACTTAAAATTTTTCAAAATTTAACACCTAACACTTACTACAGTAGTATAACCATGCCGAATGTCCGCTCCGTTAGCTGTCCTAAAGTCAGAATAGTTGCTTTCTTCACGTCGTGCGTTTTTTAATGAATAAACCTAGATATTTTATAGTATACAGACTCTATTCTACACTTTTTATAGATGATTTTTATGTGTCACCGGTACTTTAGGAATCGTTTTTGAACTTCGTACAGCTTTTATAAAAGTGTCCTGAGTTTTGGTCATATTTTTTGTACTTTAAACATACTGCTTTAGAATGATATCGTTACTACTTTGAAGCCTTGAAAGTTCATGTGTTCGATTTTTGGCGGTTAAAAATTCAAACGTTGGACGATGGATTCGCAAAAGCGTCAGACGTATCGGCAAAATCAAGCGGTAAAAAAATCTGTCCGCTCCGTTAGCAAAGAATACGCAGGTAATAAAAGTCCGTTTTCAACATAGAATACGTAGAAATTTTTGTTTTTAAAAACTCCAAGTCCTAGTTGTCGGCGAAGTTCCACGCATTTAAACTCTGCATATACGGCACACAAAACAATGATTTGTTCGCTTCGTTAGCACGTAATACGTAAATTATTAAAAATGAGTGCAAGACGATCCACGAGGTTAATGGTGACAAATAACAATGCTTTAGTGCAACAAAAAAAAGTTGGAACGCGCTACAAAGCTGCGCAAGGCTAAAAAGGGCGTCATGAAAGAAAAATCTGTAAGTGTATTGTTATAAATAATCGACATTTCGCGTTGTGTCACGGATCTGTACCAACATTTTTTTGGAATCTCCAGGAACCTAATAATAAAGCTACTTATGCTTAGTTTTATTGAATGGACTTAGGGCTCATTTTAAAAGGGGTTTTCTCTTTTATTTAAAAATTTTCGAGATTTTGTACGACAATTAGGACCCTCGCTGCGTTCGGGCCCTTAACTAAGCCTTGTCGTAAAGTGTTACTTATGCCCTTGTATCGTAAAGTACCATTAAAGAATAGCATGAAAAACGAAGTCTCAAAAATTAAAAAAAAATCAAAGTTCAAACAATCAAAAGTGGAGAAAAGTTGAATAAAATTCCATAAAGAAAATTCAACCAAGGAAAAGAACTCTGAAGTTTCACTTTTGGTGCTTTTATATAGTTAGATCTAGAGCAACACAAAAATTAATGCAAAATTCTGAAGACATTTCTGAAGACAATAAGGGATGATAAAACTGTTTTGATTCTCTAGATTGAAACAGTTAATTTTTTTTTTCATTTGACAAGAAATTCGAAAAAGGTATTTAAAACTTTTTTCACCGAAAGCTCTGGCTTCTAGGGCCCATTTTTGTTAAAAACAGCGTTTTTCCGCTCTAGACGCTATCGATTTCAATTAAAAGATCTGAAAAATTTTGAGGTTATGTATTTTGATTAAAAAAACAAGAAAAAATTTTTTCCAGATTTTTTCAAGCTCCGTATCGTCCTAAAAAAATTATTTTCATTAAAATAGGGGGTTTCTGGCTTCAAATGGTGCGTTCACAAACCCAAAAAAAATTTGAAAAAATTTGAGGTTACTTTTTTCAATAAAATAATAAAAAGAAAAAATGTTCAGATAAGCTATTATTGCCTCCTATCACCGAATCTGGACTTTCGAAATTTTCAATAATTTTATCTGAAAGCCTTAAGCTCTTAAAAAATATAAAAAAATTCAAGGTTGTTTGCATAGTTGAAAAGTACCTTCATGAGTTTTTTAAGATTTTTTTATGGCTTCAGGGCTTCAGAATAAATATAGATCGAAAATAGAAGTTTATAGAGGGGTGAAGGGTAAGAGGGGGAGGGGGGGTCTAAAATTTTAATTTTGGAACCTTTTTACCATGTACTGTAACATACCAAAAGTGCGTCAAGAACGGTGACATACGTGCGGACAAAAGTTTAGAAAAGTATCATTTTGACCCATATAGAAAAAAAACTATCAAAATTTTCCGTGTTCACGCATTATTTTTATGTTTTAGGACCCCAAAGAACGGCTTTGCCGTGACCCTTACTCGCGTACCACGAAAAAATTTTTGGAGAGTGAAATGAAGAAAAATTCTGGATTGCTCATATATATATACAGCAAAGTAGGTCGTACTTCCCCAATCTTCTTTATTTTCATACCTCCTTTACTTTATTATTCGCTCTTTTGCATCACGTCTTGGCAGCTCTGCACTCAAAAAGATAAGGTAAAATTCAAAACTTTCATGGCGTTTGCAGCGTCGTGAAATACGTGGCCCTACGTGAGAATTCCTATGCCCTATTGAAATATTTCCATACACGGAGTCACTTCAGTTTCATTAAAATCTCAATCGGCAGTTTTTTTCGCAATGCCGGGTGAACTTTGGCTTCGCGAGGCTTTATTCCTATAGACATTTTTAATTTCGCAGATCGCTTTTAGCTGTACAATGTTATCCCGATATGATCGGCAGCAGAATTTAATTTCTTTGTCGAAGATTAACTCGACCGCTCGTTACACGCCCTCGTAATTCTATTGAGCGTTGACAAAAGCGTTTTGAAAATTCATCAGTGAATTCATAGTTGAAAGCTTGCATGGCAATCAAATTGACCCAACGACTTGCGTTATATTCTTGGCTTTTCGTGCAACTTTAAGCTGGTAAGACAAAATGTAGAGGCACCGAGAACATTGAAAAGTCGTGTGTTGTACACCCAGTGGGAGGTGCCGTGCGTCGTATACA